TGCTGGTCATGCATAGTAATACGGCCATAAGATTGTATGCTTCCTATGGTTCTAACGCGTTATTAGCGCTCAAAATTAGTATATTTTGAATATGTCTAACGATTCGCCAAATCCAATTTTTACGTTTAACGTTCAGATCAAAATTTTGTTGTACTATAATAACGACACATATGAACATTGACTCGAGAAAGAATGTATTGGAATATGATACATTCCCAATAATTCTAATAATCAGATAACTAAGTAAGATGTTCTAATCGCTTTGTCGTTCATTGGGGCTAACATTGGGCTAATTTCCAAAGCGCACTCACAAATTACACCAATTTTATCAAATTTTTTCCGAATAATTTTTTACGTATCAGAAAAATTGAGCCGTAAGGAAGAATGCCACAAAATCTACCGCTAGCTGATTCAATATTAATAAACGATAAAATTTCTTTCAAAATCACCCTCTTTGCCTCGTACACGTTCGGCTGTAGAGCCGCTTCCTGGAGCTGAGAGAAGGCTTAGCTATTTTGTCTGTGTTGGAATCATGTCTATCTTCCTGCTCAGGGACATTTTCGTTATAGAGCAGGTATAACTCGAATGATTGGGTAATTGGTATCGAGTTGTCTGGTATTAGAGCTCATCATAAGGTCTGAAATGACCCTCATAAGGCGAGTATTGAGGCTCTCGGTCGAGCGATCGACTGCGCCATGCTCGCCTCGCCGAGAGAACACGCCTGCATCGCCTCGTCTAGCCCTGTGCGTGAGGACATCTCGTATTCTGCTGGATGTCTCTCTCACATTACACAATTTTCAGTTTTGTATTAAAAAATTTCAGCTTTTTGTGTATCAGCAGGTTCTTGTTCCGAACCTTTAGTCAGTTACTGTCTCTCTAATTTGTTGCAGGCGCGCTGGCTGGCACCATCTTATTAAAACCGAGTCGACTTTGTTATAAAGAAATGCCGTGAATGCACTTATAATGGTGATTGACTCGCATGTTATATGATTTAACTTTGCGTCGACATGAGTTTGAAATGCTCTCCACTCGAGTAACGATATATTTACAATGAAATTTGGGTTTATTTCGAGAATTTTATTGCCATTTTATGTTTCTATGGGTGCTGTATTATTAACTGCATTTTCTTTTGGCACTAATCATTGTATGCGGGTCGGGATTTATACTCTAATTCCGCTCTGCTTAATTCACGTTTAAATCTCCAGGACTTATTCACACCCAGTGGGCAGCAATTGAAGCTCGCGAGGGAATTTCCCCGCTCGAGGGTAGATTCTATTCAGACATTCAATTCTTTATTGATCCGGGTCATTTGTGCCCCGCAATCCTTTGACAAAAAACTTAACAGGCTCATCGTGAGCCTGTGAAATAACCGATTAAAGCCTCTAATCAATAGAGGCCATTGTCCCGGTGCACAAAAGATTAGTATTGTGATTAGGTGTTAAGTGGGTGTAGGCAATGAATGAGTTGCGTACAGTATCATGCTGGTAGGAAGGGTATCCTACACTTTAGAATTTTACTCGCATTACAAGGACTGTGGGATAGTTTTTGAATTGCTTGCGGTTCCAACTGTTCATGGCAGCGATACAAAGAAGCGACGGTGTTAAAAAAATCCTTCTACTATTGATTCCGCTTCATTGGCCACGGCGATCCTACTTATTTTTTTCAAATTCTTCGTGTAATTTTTAACTGTAAAAGGAGATATGTGATTTTAGTGATCATTTTGTGTTTGGGTGCGACTCAAAATAAGTGAGACGCTCTAACCAACGTGATAGTAAAATTCAAAAAGAAAATTGTGTAACAAGAATTATCACTAAATTCATCAAACAGACAACCATTGCCGCACGTAAATTGATCTTTACTAATGAGTTTCCCCTAATAAAGCTATTGACGATAACCAGACAGGAGCGAGTACTGTTCAGGATCTAATTTGTCGTAGCTTAGAAAAGCTTAGATAATTTTCGCGTGCAATCTATTGTGTCTCTGAAATTTTTAAAGCATATATTGAATGTTGTTGTTGTGCACCCATGAAAATATTCTTCTTACTTTGACGATAAATTATTTTGTAATGTTTGTCGATGCGTCCGTGTGTACGCTAAATTGGATGTCATCCCCTCCTTCCATATTTTATGTAATGGACATGGTCTAATATATGTGTTATTAAAGAAAATCAATTTGAAGAAACCAGGCTGATTATACCGTCCTGCAATTATTTCAGTTGTTGGAACAACTGCCCACGTTCGTCCATCATCGAGCCTTGCATGTATCGCAGGTGCGACGAGTTCGCTATGGCTGCAGTACTTCGTATCGACCGTGACCATAATAAAAGAAAATTGCTTAGGCGCTTATAGCCGATTCTGTGGTAGTCGTTACAACTTTGCTGCTCGTTCCAGTATTGTCGTTCCCTAATCTCTCGTCATGATCATTGCTTTTATTCATGCAAACGACGTTTCAACTTTGTTACGAGGTATTTCTATTATAGGTACATCCACTGATAGGCAAGGTCATTATTTTGTGCTACTGTGTAATTTCTCTTGATGTGGCCACCCACAAACCTGCATCAGGCTCTCATTGATTTGAACTCGGCAAATGAAAACTTTGAATAGAATTTCACTTTTTGAACGTAATCTGTACCCAGGAGAAAGTAGCGATCAAAGTTCAGCATAACCTTATCTATTGAATCGACTACTAACTTATGCTATTATTCTCAATTGAGGAATCAGACCGTAGACGATTGGTTTTTGAACTTTCTGAACAATTGACAATATGGTATTCAAGCGAAGCAATCTCATCTCTAAGAGTAATATTTCACTTAGCGTTCAGTACTTACGGTACCTATGATGATCATCACGATCAACTTGAGGCCTCCGGACTCCTTCAGGTCTTTTCTCATTACACACGTAAATTACGGTCCGTTCTTACTAACGGAAGAAGTGTACATGCATCGTTGACTCGGACCATTAGATTGTAGGAAATTTCTTGTATTATTTATAATTACCGCTCATGGGAGCTAAATGATAGCGATAAACCTAAAGATTTGCATGTAAATGAAGTAGCTAATTGTTTCCAGCTCACCGAGTTTGTCGTTTTTTTTAGAATATTTGATTTTGACGGCAGATACCTGATGATTATTAATATACGCAAGCTTCTTTATTCAATCATATAGTACTTTAATTTAGGCGCTCTTCCCGTCACCGTTTGTTCCATTGAAATAACGGTAGCTCTACTTTAGGTAATATCAATCTTCGTTGTGTTCATTAGCAGCCAATCAGGGCAAAGGCTCTGCAAGACGAGGCCAGCCTTAAACGTCGTCTCTAAATTAACGACTCTTGCTGTGTAGAACAACTCCTAAATCTATCCACAGCGCCACTAATTAATCTGCTTAATCTACTCGAGAATCTGGTAGTTATTTATCACGGTGCTTGGAAAAACTCGGTGTTATTCATGCCCATAGCTATAGCATTGCCGTGCGTGTGCTGCTTTCTGGGCATGACGGTGAGGTAAATCTTGAATGCAATCATGTTGGATTCTTACTCCTTCCTATACTATTTCTTCGAGGCTCGCAATAAGTGAATTTAGCTTGTGAGTGTTGGGGGCTTGTTGTCGCTACCGCCATTAATCTTGCGGGAATTACTTATACAGTTCAGTGTTTTATCGACCGCCGAGGCCAGTATCATCCTCTAGGAACTAATTGCTAACTGGGGCTCCCAAGTCCTGCTTCTTTCCACTTCGCTCTGCTCTTATTTATTTCAGGTTAATTCTTGAGCCTTTTAGAGTAGGTTTGTGAGCATGAATACGTCTCTGCAATGTGCATGAACAGCGAAAATTAGTTGTAGCTTTCTGTTCCTTCCTAGTCATATTTATTTGATTTTTAGAGCTGGTTGTATCTTCGATAATATTAATTGTTTCGTGTCATGAAACTGCTGTCTGTTAAGAGATATCGTATTGAAATACATTCAGATGGACGTTATTATTACGGCGCATCGCGTCGGGTCTTAATTGCATTAAAAGATTATTTATGGCCCACCTCCTTTAATGTGCTTCGGAATTTTTTTTTTGTTTTTTTCGCATTGGGAGTTTTTTTTTTGTACTGAACATTGTGATACGAGGCGAGAAAGTTTTACAGCATTTGATTCTTTTACCTTTGAATTGTCTATCGTGCAGATATACAAGTATTTTTAACGTGAAGTGACTTGAAATTTATTTCAACTTGCTTAGCGGTACGAATTAAAATTCTCTCGTTTCTCGAGATTGACTTGAATGATGGTACTCCAGCAATATTTGGTGGAGTACCATGGAGTAATTTGCTTTGAAGTTTCTTTCTACTTGCTTCAACGGAACCAACTAAAATTCTCTTGAATAACTCCTCTAGAATATCTCACAGGATGATATACCTCCAATTTTGTGATGAATTTCATAAGTGGTTGAGCTTAATTATATTGCATTTAATTGCCCCATACACATATCTTTAGCTTAGTTAGTAGCCTCAAACTAAGCTGCACGTAATCAAGCTCACCTAACCTTAGATGAACGACCTGCGTTATTCGAGCGTTACCGCCGTCCCTTCATGAATTTATTGCTGGATTGTCTAACAAATGACGGATTTAGGTGAAGAGAACCATGACTATGGGCTCCATATGTTCATTAAATACATCAGATATCAATATGAATTCAGGCTAAAGGAATTGTGTTTAATTATGCCCTACCGCGCGCCTACTCAAGAAGAACGTCGCTCTTACAGAGCAATCGTGAATGCCGACTTTGGTACTGCTTTGTTTTTATTTGATTTTTTCCATCAAAATGATGTTTTTATGTAATTAATATTCAGTTTTGCCTTTTTTGACATGTTTTTTTTTTTGGGATTCGTCATTGCATTTGATTTTTTTATGTGTTTGATCCAATTTTGTGATTTTTGTGTACCCTATGTTGTTATTTTTATGATTTTGTTTATGCCTCATTATTATATTTTTGTTATTTTCCTTTATTTTTATACTTGTTTACAGATGCTCGGGACGGGAGAGTTGCCAAGTAGTAGTTTCAAGCGACGTCTTCGGGGACCCGTGTCCCGGCACCGTCAAGTATATAGAAGTGCAGTACTCCTGCGGTGTCGGTCAGTTTACTCACGCTCCTGTCACACAACTCTTCGTTAATTGCGTGCGAAAATTACTAATCTCTACATAAGTTGTGGGCAATGTTTGTGCTAACTGACAACTGTTCGTATGATCTCTGGTGACCGCTTACCGCTTGTGAAAATTACAGATCATTTAGCACTGATTTGTAATTCTTATTAGAGTCCCGACTGCGTGCAAGACTAACTGATGGTACGGACTGCATGTAGGCTGCTAACGGTTTTTACCTTGTCTTTTATTGTTTAACACGGTTTATGGGATTTTTCTGCCCATTTGGGTCACAGTAGTTGGACAAAATACTTCTGGTGCTAAATACGGTTATGCTTTTGCATTCCTTGTTTCATCTTTGTCAACACTTACGTATGTTTATTGCATGTGGTCGGAACATAAAAACTTCCCATTTATATCAAGCGTTGTTGTTCGTCTGTTCTTTGACTAATTTCTACCGTACTTCCGTGTAAACTGTCGAGAGTGATTGCTTTTCTTTCTCGCTCGACTTTTGTAGAATATCTCTATGTATCCGATTAAATTCATCCTGAGATAATGATGATTGCCCGCCTCTCTTGCCGAATTATTAACAATTGACTTGAATTCCACTCGCGTACATATCGAGTAACCAGCATTGTATCCCTACAGCTTGCTTTTAAACAATGCTTTACAGGTGTATAGTTCTTGCCGGAGTTCGCTTTTGAACAGAACCGTTAAACTTGTAGAGTTGGAGACGACAGTGTCATGCAAGCCTCGTATTTTATCGTGCCTGTCGTCGTCTCTCAAATCGCTGTATCATGGGGCTATAAATCTGGACATACGCGCCTCTCGCCACGTCCATCTCATCTTCTATTCGGTGTGTCTGGTTTACTGCGCTAACTTCTCTGTGGTGGTGTGGAATGAACGCCATAGACTAGGGCAGTTCCAGCAGGTCATGTCCGAATGGGAACACCTTATATTTCAATGTAATTGTTGCGTCGCTCTTACCACCTCTTTCGAGACGCATGCATGTGATGCGTTACGCCAACGATGAACCTCGATGTTTCCTGATGCCGGTTCTTTTCGGGTACAATTACGAGTCTTGCCGACGACCGTTGTGGGTGCGGTAATGGTGGTGCCTCCGCCAGGGGCGCTAGAAAATTACTACTCCACAATCATGCCTCCTGATAATGATGATACCCCGATAATTGCCACAACAATGGAGCTGAGCCAAACTCGACCACAATGCTAGTCTCAAGTTCTGCTCCAGAATTACTTTCTCTCTCTTTTATTCTCGTTTGTCTCGAAGCCACTGCTCTGAATTACGACTCAGGTCTGTCTGAATAATGAAGTCAACTTGAGAAATTCTGAAGCGACCACAGATCTTCGCCAAGTCATTTAGCTATATTCCAACTCAGATTCAGCAGAAGGTCATTTTTAGATTTATTTTTTTATCCCGGTCATTGTTAAGCGAAAACACCGCGATTATCTTGAATTGGTCGACCGTTGTTTTGAAGATGCTTAATTTCTTGCCTTCTGCTGCTTCTTACAAGTGTTTGCACCATCTTTTCTTTCATTTATCATGAGAATCCGTTAAATTAATTTTTTTCATTTCGTCAGTTTGTGCTCTTTCCCATTCAAAAGAACACGGTTCCATCACATTTGATAGCTCATCTACAATTTTAATTTTAATATGTACGTTCACTTAGATCGTTATTCTCTTTGCATTCACATTTCATTCACTTGTAATTTTAATCTCACCTTTGCATTTTGGTCCATTTAATTCCAGTTTCTAAATCGGAGTCACATGATTAGTTTTAAACGCTTCTCATTTGTTTTGATTTCGTCTATATCTACTTTTTTCTGAAACTTGTCGGAATATTTATTCCTCCGTGTTATCATGCAACGTTGTACGTGGAGCTATAATCAAAAGGTTTAATCTTTCGGACTTTAACAATCGCGTATTTGTAAGCATTAACGCATTATCGCCTCGGTTCCACACATACGGAGCAAACCTTTTCCCCGTAGCCCATCATGTAACATTATACACATATTGGTGAGTTTGTAATCTTTTACCTTTATATGTGTCCAATACTTGTACTGTTTGTACTGTAGCTACTTTGCGTTATCTGTGTTAAATTTAACATTGCTACTCACCTTCCCCTTATTTGATCTATTTCAAGCTGCCATGGGAAACCTTCATGTACTATCGAAGCCATGACAGCCATTTTTGGCGATGGTTGTCCTGGTACTAGAAAGTACTTGGAGGCACAGTACACTTGCCAGACAGGTAGGCTATTTGCTGTCCTTTTCTGCGGTATTTTCAAATTCGTGGATAAACATGCATCAAGAAAGACTGAAAATATCTTGAGGTGACAAAAGTCTTAGTGCAAGTGTAAAAAAATTTAGAGACGTTTTAGCTTTACAATTTCCCCCAACCTTAAGCCAGGAAATTATTTCCTAATGGTTTCATGGCCCTTGGAAGGGGTTTTTCGGCATTTTTCTTGATGCAATACTTTGCTCCTTTTATCTGATCTTGTTTCCTGTGCCATCGCTGTATTTCGTATCTCATGGTATTAACTGGGAAATTTTTGCACGAGTGTTCAACACATGTAGCAGATGCACTTGGCATGTTTTTAGTTATGCACGCATTCATTTCATTCATTAGCTTTTTGATTAGCATTAGCTTTTTCATTAGCTTTTTCTTCACAAGTCTATCAAAATTAGATGTGGATTTCAATATAAAGCCTATTTCAAATAAGTCATTGTCAAGTATCAACTATCTATGCGTATCTATATTCAGGTGAAGTGTTATTGATTTTTTTTTCAAATAATCAACCGAGAAATATGAATTGATCACATGAAGCAATTATCAAGTACGGACGGCTCGTGGGTTAGCTTCAAGTACCTGAGAAGCGAAGGACCAAGTGATGGCATCTAGCGCGTCGAGTCGCTCTATCTAAGCAGTCTGTAACACCATTAGCATGGGAATGAACCCTTGCCTTCTAACCTCTGTTGTGAACGAGTTTCGAGGATGACTCCTCTTTCAAGACCAATGCTCTTGCATCCTCGGAGCTCATTTTTGTGTCGAAACGTACTCGCAGCTTGTGCTAAAATTCCTATATTGTGCCTGGATAGACAAGATTAGAAGACTAATGGCTACTCGGCCTGAGTCTTGGGCATGATAAACCGCGGTGCGTGTCTGTAGCCGGCCATTCACGCCTCTTTAGACTTCACTAAAACCGGTTTTATTCCCTGTTTATTGCATGCACTTGTCATAGCATGGAGATTTTGCATTGAGTTTTACGGAAATGGGCTTTTGCATAATCATTTTAATATTTTAAGTGAGTTTTTAGAAGTGACAATGGCTTGGAATGTTCATCAATCATCAATCAGCAATAATCTCAGATCTACCTTTGAGATAATTTTTTTTTAAACATGCGATTTCATGCATTCTGTTTTATTTTCAATAAAAGTAAAAAGTTCTTATGTTATGAAGAATAAAATTTTAAATATTTATTTTGATCATCTATCAAAAACCTGTGAAATTACTTCAACTCAATGACTAGTTCTTTCTTGAATATTAGAGATTTTATCCGCATGAACTTATCTAGAGTGATTACATTTAGAATTTTATTTTCTAATTCATGCATTGAATAAATTTGTGCCTCTGAACACTGTAGGAGAACTGACAGTCGTATTTTTCACGCAGCCACGACGACAACGACGACGGCGCGACCCCGTCCGATTTGGGACGTGTACAGTAGCAGACCGCCGATGTTCCTGCCTCCGACTTTATCTTCTAATGCTTCCAGAAGTGAATCAACTTCTACAACTTCTACTACGCAATCCACCACGTTGCCTTCTACCTCCACCCTATCTACCACTAGTGCTCTTGTTAGTTCTTCTAAGGCTGGTTCTGTCATCACCACTCCCGTACCTCTTAACAAAACTGAGAATGCATCTGACGACAATGAAAGTGGAGCTGGAAGTAAAGGAAGTGCAGCATTGGATGAAAGAGGAGTTTACAACACATCTACAACCACTTCAGCACCTCTTCAACCCACGGTGACCACAACCCCACTGTCCACGACAACTGAAGAAAGGATTCGAATTTCTCCGCCAAGTCCGCCTGTGCTTCAAAGTAATGCAGACCCAACTTATGATTTACCTTGGTGCCCGCCTTCCTTTGGTCGAGGACTCTACTGGAACTGGACTCGTGGAGGAGACGTTGCTGTTCAGTCATGCCCAGGAGGGGCTACTGGTTGGGCCAGAAGGAAATGTTATCCATCTGGCTGGGCCGGTCCCGCTGATTTAGGAGAATGTCGTAGCGCGTGGCTTACTGCTTTAGAAGCCCGTGCCAGCAGCCACGATGCTGTTCTCTCGGTCGCTGACGACCTTGCAACCGTCACTGCCAATAAGGCTCTCTACGGCGGTGATCTCACTACGGCTGCCCGCCTCATCTCGACTCTGGCTCGCCGCATGACTCTAGACGTGTCCAGTTTTCCGGATGCACGACAGAAAGAGGCGTTGGTGACAGAGCTGCTTAACAATGCTTTATCGACTGCCTCATCGCTGCTTGCCGCTGGTATCGGGGGACCATGGGGAGATCTTGCCCCTCACGAAAGACGACACGCTGTCACCCAGCTCATGGTTGGACTAGAAGAAGCTGCGTTTCTTCTGGCCGACGCTTTACCCCGAGACACGCAAGCTGCTTATTACGACTCTCACGTGCTCGCGTCCGCCAGGGTCGTGACTGCTGATGGATCTTTCGTGAAATTTCCTTCCTTGGAGGACCAGGCCTTGGACTGGACGTTCGCAGATAACGTTATTCTATCGCCAGAAGCAATTGTGGAAAACAGCGAACGTAGTGCTACAAAAGCCGTGTTCTTGACGTATCGGCATTTGGAAGATTTGCTCACTCCGTACGATGAAGCTTTAGGAACTTGGTCTGGGAGCAACGTAACTAGAATGGTCAACTCTCGAGTTGTGTCAGCATCATTAGGTCATGGACGGCATATACAGTTGCCGAAACCTGTCACTATTGTCTTCTCGTTGTTACGCCAAGAAAACGTCACTAATCCAGTATGTGCTTTTTGGGACTACACTACCGCAAGTTGGAGTGACGAAGGATGCAGGGTGGTTCTCCACAACCGCTCACACGTCACGTGCGAATGCGATCATCTTACGAACTTCGCCGTAATAATGGAAGAGCAAACCAGCGTCGTGGCGGTCGACACTCAATCTTATGTGAGGGTCATAGTCTACGCTGGATGCATCATCTGCCTCGTTTGCTTGGCTGCTTCTTTGGTGATGTTCACACTTTTTAAAAGCCTCTCGACTCCATGCTCTGCTATACACCATCAGTTGTGCGTGTGTCTCCTCGTTGCTGAACTCGTCTTCGTAATCGGAATTTGGAGGACTGACTTGCCCATATTATGCGGAGTGGTCGCCGGAGTTCTATACTACACCATACTGGCCGCCTTCACTTGGGTGTCTCTGGAAGGTCAGTCATAGTTCCAGTCTAACAAATTCGATGTTTCAGATGTTTTGCTTTGAATTATTTTACACAAAAATTCATTTATACTGTTAGTGTTGACACAAGATAATTAACCAACAATTATTTTCTGTGCAGGAGTGCAGTTATACCTGAGCGTAGCTCGCGCGGTCGAGTACACGTCACTACGGCTGCGCTGGTGGCACTATACGATCGCTTACGGTCTGCCCCTGCTGGTCGTGTCAGCTGCCGCTATCGTTGACCCTTTCAGTTTCGGCACTGAAAGATATTGTTGGTTACGAACAGATAATTATTTCGTGTTCTCGCTGGTGGGACCGGCGTTGGCGCTGCTGGTGGTGCACATCACTTTGCTCGGCGCGGCGCTACTGCACACTTGCAAACTGAGTCCCGACGACCCACTAAAGAGCAAGGAGATGGCGCGCCTTGCCTCATCAAAGTGAGTAACTCTTACGTATTTTTTTTGTAATAAATTAAGATCTGAATTCACTTGTTGCTGCCCCAAGTGTTGGTGCCATTATGAAGTTCTTGTATCTCCGATGTAAGGCGTATGCACAAAAGCCATTTGGAACCGACAGGTATTCATTTTTGTAAAATGTATTTAGTCATTTCTCCCTTCACCGAAATTCCCTGATACATGTGCTCCTTCTGCACGTTCTGTATCCCGTAGTTATTGAATCTCATATGAACTTTTCTAAGCTGCACCATAATTCAACTATATATGTTAATGCACTTAAACCTCACGAGCAAAGGTGTCTCAAACTACTTTCTATACTGACTTGTAATGGGAATGAAGCGAAGGTTATCAATATCTCAATAGGAATAAGAATAAATTGAACTTTTCTGAGGAAATTTAAAGGAATTCATTCAATGCAAACGAAATTTTATTTCCAATTTGTATTGTTTTTGGAAATATTATTCTTTGGTTTCTTACCAGAAGCTTCTCTCATTTTTCAACTTGAATAACGTGTGATGTGTTTAGTAAATTTACTCTTCGCAACACTCATGTACGTAGTCATATTTGATACTTTTTAGAGGTAGTTCACTGTTTCCTTTGCAATGACTTCGTGATAGCCCATGACAATCAGAAGCAATCGTAAATATTTTGCCGTGTTGTAAATGTGTTACTGAAAACTTAAAAAAGTTCATTTGCAATTGACATTAAAATAAAAATGCAAATTGTCTTCAACAAGGTCAAATTCTACGGTATAAGAAGATTGCTCCTGATTGTGTACGGCGGAAATTTTAATTGCTATACTAACCTATTTTATATTATATTCTATCACTTCTCTTTCTCTCTCCAACCGCTACCTTGGCTGCACGCCCCTGCTCTGTGACTTGCATCCTTCCCTCTTCAACATCGAACATAATTCTAACCTATTTTTTCCTTGATGTCATTTTCCATTTTTTCATTTGATGTCTTGAATTTTTATCATTCTATTGATGTTGTTTCGTTCAAGTCTCCATGTTTATTCAACCGTGTGCGTTATTCTATTTCATCTACATTCACGTAATCGGCGTTTCTCTTGCCGTCCGTCACATTTTATAATCGGTTTATTGTACAAACCTTTTTTTATCTTCTTTCCTTTGTTTGATGGTGTCTCCCATTCCATATTCGTCATCGGTGTCCCTCCCTCCTCCCTGTCATCGGTGTCCCTCTCCCTCCTTCACGTCATCGGTGTCCCTCTTCCCACCCTCCCTGCCCTATTGCCTATCACCTATTATTATTACCCTTTACCCTCCACCCTCCCTTCGTTTACTGGGTGCATGCCCCCTGCAGCGGTACGGTGGGCGCCGGCTACGTGGGCAACGTGCTGCACCAGCGCGCCAAGACACGAGTGTAAGAAACGCTACCCAGTTTACTTAATCGTTCGTCGTGTGTTGTCTTGATCGTTAATTGCCTCGGTGTGCTCGAAGATCATTGACTTCTCTATGTGCTCAAAACGCAGCGAACAAAACAATTCCCAATTTGTTCATTCTTATGTTTTTTCTTGGCAAAATTATTTTTTCCAGTTCTTCAATCGAACAATTTAATCTGCGCTTTAATGGTTTATAAAAATATAATCGCTTACTTGTATTACGAATGTAATACGTGAGTTATTCAAGTTGTAGTACACATGAATAACTCATCTTGGTGTGATTATCGTAACTTCGGGGTTTGTGCCGTTAGCCCGGAGCCGCCTCCTCCGATGTTCGGGCCGAGGTAGGAATGACATTTCTTACTCGCCCTGTACATGATTTATTTGCGACTCTTCGCTCCGGGCTACGTTCTCTCTCCCTATAAATTATCTCTGCATTTTGGTAACAGGTTACGGCGATCAATTTATGGCTCTGCTGAATCTCTTGCTATTTTCCGAGCATATTTCATCGTTTCAATTTCTAACGAAGAAAAATAACGAGAGATTTTACGGTCGAGAAATGGTTCTTATTTCAACATAGTCTTTTCTTTTTCAACTTTCTTCGTGAAAAAGTTTCCTGAATAAAGTTCGAGATGACTTCGTCATGTCACTTTGCTTGGTTTTCATGGATTTCCGTCAATAAATATTTTAAAAGCAGAATTTTCACAGAAAAGTCTTTCATTAATAGGCAGTCGCGCAAGGCGAGCTCGCATCGCTGTATTCAAGGCACAATATCTGGCTTGTATTCTTCAATTATGAGACAAGTTGTATCCCTCGTTAGGCCTAGCACTAGACCGTTGTTGTAGCTCATGCGAGGGAGTAGCACAGCTTCCTTGGTCTCTCTCCTCTGTGTCTAATTAAGCTCAAGTCCCTCATTTGCATACGAACAACACAAAAATGACTGTAATGGGCAACGCAAAAACCAGACCGCCGCTGGACTTCGACTTGATGGGTGGTGCTATCATAAGGATTTTTTGTTGTCTCTTGCAATGGTTTATTGATCACACATATTAAATTTTTTGCGGGCCTTGCGGAGAAACACAAATTGAGGCTCTATATTGTTAGTTCTCTTGCTGAATGTAGGTAAAAAACTTCTTGAGCATCGTTGAGTTCTGTAAACATAGCGTGAAAAAGCCCGTCAATTTACCCAGATTTTATATAGTTAATAAGACCTAATTATCGATTCTCGATTAAAATTACGTTGAGCTGTTCTTAGTCAAAAATTTGGTGTGGTGAGCCAACCTTTCTTAGTTGAAAACAATTCATGAAAGGTGAATGTCTTATCTTTTCTTCATGCACCATGATCATGTTGCTCCTGCAATTTCAAGGTTTTCAATCGTAAATTCTTCCATTGATAAACTATGAAAAGTCTGATATGCGATGGAATGCGATGGATGCGATGGTAAATGCGATGGAATTTTCACCGATTAAGTATCCAATTACATTTTACACAATATATGGTCTAAATTAATCATAAACCAAACCCCTTGATTGTATTTTTTTAAAGGCCTTCTTTATGTATATGCACGCTGATCTAACTTGTATCGAGTTGTTATATACTTTTTGTAGCTTTTTTATTCGAGGGGAGAAAATTTTTATCGCTGTTATGATCAAATAATTATGAGGGCTCTATCAGTCGATTTTTTACCTTTTCCGAAATTATGCGAATCATAACATGCACGACGTAAACATTTCAAGTGCAATCTATCCAACAGAACTTTGAAATTTTATGTATGTATTCTTGCGGACGTTTTTCAAACTTATGGGTAATATAATAATAATATAATAATTTCATATGCGAGTATCATCACGTAGTGTCAACATTGATATTCATATATACACACAGACGATTAAATTGAAATTTGTTAATAAATAATTACTTCAAATAATTTCATGGCTTATTTGTTCACTTCGCAATTGCCCTGTAAATTTTGTTTATTAACCAAAGAGGTAGATTTAACCCGCTTTGTGAAGGACTTGACTTGGAGTAACGTTAGCCACAAGTTAATCTACCCCACTTTATGAAGAACAAGAAGTAACGTAGACTTCGTTTGCAGGGTTTGGCTGCGAGGGTCGACGACGCTGCTGGTGCTCATGGTGCTCACGTGGACGTTTGGTTTGCTGTACCTTCACCGCCCCACGCTGGCGCTCGCCATCGCCTTTGGGGCGCTCAATGCAGTGCACGGCATCTTCGTGCTCTCCTACTACTGTTTCAGGAATCAAAAGGTAATTATATCTCATACCGAGGCTTTTCTTGCCGTAATTCGAATAGAATTCTATCACATTGAGTGATTTTGATATTTTGAGACACTGTTGTCTGCAGCGGATGTTACATCGATGCCGAAAAATGTCATGCATTGCTATGACATCGACGGCATTTTTGCTGGTTTCGAATTCGAGAATAGAATCTTTGAGCGAATTTTTTTATCATGGTTTGGGGTAATATGGAACGTGATACATTTACCCAAAGAGTATAAATTGGATTAGTTCATAAGCGTTTAGAACGAGCTCGTTTTTGATTTGATGATGATTAATTCTGCTTCGTAGCTCTGTTCCTTGTGCTCATCTTTTGTTAAACACTGAGTGGTGTAATTTTCACAACTTAAAAACCCCTTTTTTTTGTTCGTCCCTGCATCTTTCGAATGTGGCCTGCTTTTTGTCCTTGACATGGCATGCTGATCAACTGAATTTACATTAAAATAACATAAGTAAAGTAATGTTATTTTTTATTTCACGGTTAACTCTTGAATTCAACTTCCGATGTGGATTGCCTTACGTTTGGTTAATCCGCTCTGCCACCATATCAGGAGACTTGACGTATATTTGACAGTCTGACGTATATTTTTATAGTTATCGAGACTTCTTACATGCCTTCAAAGTAGGAGTTCAGACTAATTCGTACCCCAATTTTCTTTGACTTCATTCCGAAAATTTTCCTAGCCTAAACAAGCGATATGAATTTTTTACCGTGAAGAGAAATTAATGATTAAAGAAATGTATCAGTGTAACAAGAAAAAAACATTGCTTGAAAACATGTGAGGTAATAAACTGTGAATGTCGTATGTTAGGTACGCAGTTGCTGCCCCGCTGGGACGTCTCCAAGCCCTTCTTCGAGCAACGAGTCCGAACCTTCATCTTGGTTTCCGCAAATTTTTCGCAACGTTTTCGTCACTGACAAACAAACATACAGCCCGAACAATCACAACAACAACAACACTGATCCGAGCAACACAAACCTAGTCTCTAGCGGCACCAACAACACAACCGGATCATCCTCCTCCTCATCTTCTTCTACCACGTCATCATCTCACCCTCTTCAGCATCACCACAACCATGTAGGTAACCTACACCACACTTACCAGCCCGGACCAGATATTCTCAACCAACCTGGTTGCAACCAGCCGCTCAGCTTGTCTGTTGAACACAATCGCAACTTGTCTAATGCGTCATCAGTAACCACCACCCGAGTACCACCATGTCTACCACTACCATCACCTCCTCATCAGTGTTTTTCACAACCTCAACTTTCATTCACCGCTACTACCACGACATCTTTGTCTTCGTCATCCTCTCTCTCCTCCGACAAAAGCGCTCACCATCACTTACATCAATTGCCCCCTAGTCCATCCTTGCACCATCCACACCAGCACCACCATCACTACTATGGAATGGAACCTACTCATTTGATAGCGTCAGGTAGATTTTTTTATTCATTGATGTTTTGGTCGAATGAGGTATTTCTTTATCTAATCAATGGTTTTTATTCCGAATTAATGTAATTTAAACTCTGGATATTGGTATCAACTCGGTCGCTGTACCTCTTCCATTTATTCAACTCAGCTGCTCTGCCTTTCCTATTTAATTCTTCACCCGTTTTCGTGTTTGCAGGAACTTACTGATTCCATTAACAATTTTATCTGCTGCTTGTCAGTTGATATCCTCATCTCACTCTCGCGTCAGGGAACTTAACGAGGCTCTGGAATGAATATAAAATCTGTGTGCTCCATCTATCTTCTTCTAGCGCTTTCCATTGATTTTTCCCTCTCTAAAACCATAATGCAAGGAATGTGTGTCGAAACTAACTTTCTGCCGTGACAGTTGACTGCAAATCTGCTACGATGGTTCAAATAGGCTGAGGAAGAATTTCGCCCAATTATTCCTTTGCTTATTTGCATGCTTCTCATACGAAAATATTCCTATGGAAGTCATTCCTATGGTAGTATTTTTTTACCATCGGCTGTTGTTACAAGACAATTAGGCCTTGATTGAATTTTTTGATGTTTCAGTTTTATTATTACAAGTCACATCTAAACCGTCACTCACGCTCCAGATTCGTTGTCCAAGCACCTTTAATAGAATCTGTTAGTAGTCTCTTCCATGGCAATAAGTAGTGGTTTCCGTTTCCGTTGCAGCACTATGCCACTATCCCCTTGATTTCGTCAAGCTTGCTTTAAATAGTTTTGAACCCGTATTTTATTTCGATAATAGATTGCATGCGTAACCACCTTAGTTTCGAGGTTTTAATATATTTGATCACTGGAACCTTGTTCGTGATTTTTTTTTTTTTTTTGTTGGATATGGCGTCTATCAATATTTAATCTAAATTTTAATAATTTTGGTCGAAAAAGTTATTTAATTCCCGTAAACGTAGTAATTAATTTCTAATAAATTATCTATTGTCTAACCAGTTATTATGTATTTCAGTTGCTGCCGAGGTTGTGCAATCAGTTGGCAGGCGTGAAGGGCCACAGATCATCCACGCTGCCCCCACCGTCGGGCCCGTTGATTTCGGGCCCCACGTCCACATTGGGGTCGCGGGGTTCCCTACGTCAGGGCGCTTCCCACCCGAACAACTCCACATATCAGGCCCGCAGCCCAGCGCCGACTACCACCACCACCACCACCATGAACCCCTACCACCCCATGGGTACCTTCCATCAGTCTCTGCCTCGCCATCAGTACCACATCCGCTCTCACAACCCAACGGACACCTGCACCCTCTCCACCACCACCCACACCACCATCACCAACACAACAACGCTGCTCCCTCACATCAGCACGCAAGAGGATAGCTCTTCCCCCAGCAGCTCGAAAGTTCCTCTTGCTCCTAGCGCCATAGCTATGTTTGCCAGCTCCCCTAATGTGATCAACAACCTCGATGAAGACGCCAGCTACAAATCATTTTCGAGAGACTCTGGTCATGGTGGCTCCGAACAAGAAGACTCGCCTCGCACCCATTGGACCAACACTCATCATCCTCACCAACAGCAGCACCATCTGCACCAACCACGGTACACGAGCTCGCTTTCAGCTGATCTCAAGAATTCTTATCTTGCTAAATTGAACAGAATTAACAACGCGTCCGACGATAACAGCAACAGGCTAAACTTGGACAATGGAAATCACCTTCCATCGAACTCTCCATTCCCGTGGGTTGAAAGCAGCAGCCAGATGGTATCGGTACCTAACGCTTATTCTACGTCAATGAACACCAATGCTTCAGTTTCAACGAAGTCAAACAATGGGCGAGGACCTTCTCCCTGGAATCACACGTACATGGAGATTGACCACGATGTTGACCCAGTCTATGAAGAAATTGAGCGGGAGCGTTGGAGCCGACTGAACGGCCATTCTTCTGACGTGATGCAGGTCTCGGATTTATCCGACGAAGATGTCAAAAGGAACCACACTCCAAGTGACATGAGTAGGAATTCGTCAAGGTCTTACGGAGATTCCAGGCCTTTACTGCCTTACTACAGTCAGCAGCAGCAACAACAACTGCGGCAACAGCAGCACCAGCAGAAACAACTTCAGCAACTACAAGAACAATATGCACTCAATGAAGATCGTCTCCGTGACTTTAATAATGCTCAGGTTAGCCTTGATCAAGGTACCTTGCAACGAATCCTAATGCAGCAACATCAAGACCAGCAACAGATGCAACAACAAGTACTTCAGCAAAAACCACATTTGTCTCGAGAGAATCTAATGACCGTTGCTGTACTTAACGGAGAACAAGTAGTTTGCCGCCTTAGCTCTCCTGGCCACAAGGCGCAACCGCAGCAGCAGCAGCAACAACAACAACCTAATAAATCCGCTTCTCCCAGTTGTGCGAGTTCCCTGGCAACGTCTCCTACCAGTAATGGTATGCCTGCCCATATCGTCATTTCAAGACCACCGCATTTGATGCAACTACAACAGCAGCAACAACTTTACAATGATTCCTAGAGCGCTGTGTGTGATGTGGACTCAATTTGATTTAAATACGTTGTAAGTGTTGGATAAATGGTTCAAAACTTCATTGGCCATAGGTTCCTCACTTCATTCAAAGTTACACTTGTGTCCCTCTGATTCCCTAATTATTGAAAAGAAATTTCAACGCTCGGATGTAACGTGAGTTGCAGATCTTTTATAAACGTCTAGAATATTGTACATGGTATGCGTTTGAATATCCTGTGAGACGAACGATCCTAACCTGTGAACACTTCGATAGACTCTCTACCAATATTGTCGCCCATCTGCTCTTCTCGCTCGATGACACGACGGACGAAATCGATGACCAAATTTTTTTAAGTGATTTGGAAGGCAGATTCCTATGAAGATGCTAGCTTAGACTTAGTGACGTGATGTTCTGATTTTATTATGGTTCTGGGTGCCGCAGAACTTTATTTATCTGATACTAGTCCCTTATTGTTAACGTGTCTAAGTTATTGGTTTATGCTCTTGTGCTTTGGAGGTAACTAGTTGTGTTCTTTATTTTCTGTAATATAATTTGTTTAAATTAGTTGATTTTCTTCGCCGGAAATGACGCAGGAATTTTTTTCTCACGTCTTGATGTCTAGTAGTTATAATCGTGATCGTATTTGAATATCTAGCTATTGATTGAAGTGCTATTCGACGAACGTAGGAAACTTATACACAAGTCTGATTTAACTATATTTCTATCGTGTGTAAATATATAAATATGAACATTATTGCATGTTCTTAGTGTGTGTCTGAATATTAGAGAGCTTTGATAACAGAAGTGAATTTTTTCACAGCTAATGTTAAAATATGGCCGGAAGTATATCTGGTCTTGTTTTTTGAGATGTCATATCTTTACTGAATTTGAAAGGTATTGTCTTTACTCAATGATTTCATTAACATCTGAAATTAAGCATAGCGTCGGATTTTTTTCTGCTTCAGTGATTAGATATGTACATTTTAGACGTTTCAAATTAGCCTCAATCTCGCACATTGCTTTACCTACATTTGAGTATAATGAAAGAAAGATTCATTCTATGTACGCTGTATGCTCGTCTGCACGCTAATGTATAGCTCCCAAACCTGTAGTCGTTTGTGTGCGTATGTATATTAGATAGACTCGAAGCTAATGAATTGCTATAGCTTGAATATTTCTCACGGAAATGATCTATTAGGTTAAGATTCCCCGCAAGGTTTGGAAATGTTTGGGATGGGTCTCGCTGTTGAGGGCTGTCTCTATGTGATCGCGTCAGAGAAACCCTGTTTTGAACGTCGCTTGTATGATAATCGAAGCCGTGTTTATAGATAATCAAATATCGTGGTCTTATAAAATTTATTAGAGTCTAGTTTCGTATTGAGTATTTGAAACAAAAACCTTTTTCACTACTTGCTGTGCATTTTAGCAATCTTTGACTTTCGGAACGATTAATAACCTTTTGTCCTTGTACGTAAGCTTTTTTTATGTCCGCGGAGGAAATTTGTTGCGCTTGAAATATAAATGTTGCTGAATGCATTTCAGATTTGCGTTTTCAGGTCGATTTGTGCATTCCAAGTACGTGTGTATTTTGCTCTGAGCTTCTTAAAGGTGAAGGCGATCGTCATTCCTTGTACTTATAGGCACCTAAATAGAATTATTTCATTTTAGGTTTAGATGATTCAGTCACAAAATAAGTAATGATAATTTTGACCAAATATTGGATACGTTGTATCATAATTTTTCTGCTTCCTGTACGCGAAACACTGTAAAATCCAAGAGTTTTCGATCGAAGTACCGAGTTACGTCTCGCTCATCTGTTCCTTCCTCGCATTTGTAAGAAATGTCGTCTTAAACAATGTCAGGTACACGACCTTATCATCTTCGTTTATTTGAGATTATGATTGTGCAAATTTCCTTTTCATGCAGATCTGGTACGTAATCTTTGTGCGTATCGTTTGAAAATATATTTAATCGTTAACTATTTACTTCCTAATATCGTGGACTGCACGAACAATCATGAAGCTTTGTTTATTGCTAACTATATTTTTCGTAGATTGATCGTTCCATTGTTAGCGACTGTAACCTTTTTTTTTATTACATGGCGACGTTGAACGCAAATTTTTTACGGTTATTTAGGAACTTCTATTGCAAATTTTAGTTGCAATAGCTAGTTTGTATTTCATTTGATGGAAAAATATTGGAAACTGTCATCCATGATCACATTTTTGTCCTTAGCCTATCCTTATTTCTTAAAATTTATTCAACGTAATTTTCATTAGGAAGAATTTTCTTCTGCAGCCTAGAGAAAGAAATGCAGCCTTTCCTTCTGCAGCCTATATTGAGTCCTATTTTTTCGCAATTTTCAAGGCTTGCCTTGCTGTAGGCAAGTGCGTTGGTTGAAGTGTCCATTTTTCATTGATCCCATATTTTTTAACTATCATACGAAAATTACATAAAATATGCTGGAAGTCTTGTCGATAAATAGTATTTCTCGTAGGCTCGGGCATTCGTGTGCATTATTACCCTACACTTTAAGCTCTTGTTATGCAGACATTCTAGACAATATTTTTCGATTTTAAAGCTCTTCACTAATACGAAGAGTAACTAATTATCTGCTCTGGCATTCATCCAGACGCAATTCTTCCCATGTTATCGAGTTGTGCTTTATATTCACGTTTACCATGTCTTCTCTACTTGTACAACTTCCCTATCTACCAACATGTTAACAAATTTTATTTCAAAATGAGAATAACTAGCGCGTATTTTGCTACACGTAATAAAGCCATTCTAAAGCTTATCCATGGTATAAGTACGTTATTTACTAGAATCCTTAATCATATAACTTGTACATTCTACGAACCTGAAAGAACGTAGGAATCTGTTCCCTAGCTGCCTCTTACATAACTGAATCGACCTGTCACGCAAATTATTCAGGTTAGGTTATCATAAGCTTATTTGATTACTATGACCTTGTATATCCCAATCTCGTGGACTGTGATAGATACTCTTTGTACAGTATGACAATAAAGTCTGGAAAATATCCATGAATTGTTCTTACGATTCATTTGAATATCATCATTAAAGCTAGACGTAAATACGAAAAACAACTTTCCCATAGCAGTTAAAATATATATTGAAAGATTACAATGGCACAGTTGGATATTTAACACTTTAACACTTCATAAAAATACCCCAAATACTCCACTTTACGGAGCTCACTCGTCAATTCGATCAGCAAGACCCATAATAACATTACTTCTTAGGGTCATTTCGATCTATTCATAAGTAGTGCAATAGGATATCGGAATCGAGTCTCGATGAGTGATGAAGCTAAATTTTCAGCGTCGCTATAGAAATACACAACATTTTGAGACAAATGATACCATACTGGCGTATCTATCAGCAACAAAAGGGTTATCAACATTTATTGAAAACTGTCATATGGCGGAAAACTGCTCATTGTATGGCTAAAATATGTCCTTATATAGCTGGAGTCTGCTATTATATGTATGGCAGACAATTGACAATTGCACCTTAAAAAGCTAAAATTAGCACATTACATGGCTGAAAATTGCATTTTATAAAAAACTTTTCCAACAATTAAAAAATATATATAGAGATGATCGGAAATAAGAATTATTTCCAAGGAAGCTCAACATGAACTCTGTATTCACTAAACTGTGAATATCGGTATTCACACTATGTAAACAAACTACAGAAGCATAAAAGTAAAGGAGAGACGACCAAGTCAATGTAACAAAACAATCAACATCCTCATTCCCATAACACTTGCATTCATGGTAGCAAGGTTATTGCTTAACAACCCACCCACAGTCAATCAAATAAACAATACAAAAATGCTTACTTCAGCCCACAAACCAACATCCGACGTTCAAAGTTGAGCCCACAAACCAATATCTGATGCTCCAAGTTGCCTCACAGTTTTGACATATTCTGCTTGGCGATTATTTTATTCAATATGACATTGGCTTCGTCAAGCTCAGGGTTAAGCTCCAACTTGACGAGCTCATGCCACGCCGCCAGACGTGGATGGTCCATGAAGACGTTGTAGCCCGCCATGGCTGAAACATAATTATAACGTGAGACTTTTCGCTTGTTGATGTCAAGTCTCATTACTAGGCCTTTGGATATGAATATCATTGGAGAAAAATAATGGTCAATAGACAGATGTTTGATTCCAGATCCCAGCAAGCCTGGTGGCAGTTATAGACAGAGTAATCAGAGGTTACTACTCTATTTGTCATGAAATAGTTATATCCGAAATGCATAAAATTATCTAGAAAAATCAGCCATTTCTATGTTATTGGCAAGTTTAGCAGATATATATACGAAAATTTAACGTTGGCATGCAAGCATTGACGATCTTCTCGCCCATTTTTGAACATCAAATAGGTACTACCTGCTTACGTGTCACTGATAGTTTCTATAAAAAAATGGGGAAAAAATACCTACTCTTCTAAAACAGATGCTGGTTGCATCTTGAACAAGCCACTATTGTTCATTATACTCTCTGTTTAGCCACCTATTGTTCATTATTCTCTCTGTTTAGCCACCTATTGTTCATTATACTCTCTGTTTAGCCACCTATTGTTCATAATACTCTTTGTGGTGCCACCTATTGTTCATAATATTGTTTAGCCACCTACTGCTCAGAACAGTGAGATTTAATACTGATTACACACCAGGCTGGTAGAGCTCGCACACGGCCAGGATATCGGCTATGGAGATCTCCTGGCCCGCCACAAACTTAGAGTCCTTGAGCCAATAGTTCTCGAAATGCTGCAGGACATTCTCCATGGTGGTCTGGAATTTGTCCACATTTGCCTGCTTGGCAGGGCTGCCGGTCATGCGAGGTATCAGCCACTGCAAGCAATGGGTAGGTAGGTACGGTATTTAACACAGCAATCATATTACATAGATAAAAGCCTGATTACAGATTGAGCTCTGAATTCCACAGTATCTTGAGAGGTATCGAAGCACAAAACCAACACTTTAAGGAACCAATTTTATGGGAAATAGCAGATTGGTTACTGGATTACTTATGCTACCTACAGTAGCAGAAAGGTTTGTTACATACAGTAATATTCAGCTCATTGACACTCCAGAATTGAGCAAGTACTATTCAATAAAAATGTAACTAATTGAGGTTTGTGTAAGGCTCTCACATCAAGGATTATTTATATGTATAGGTCAAAGCAGTACGGTACGTAGTATAAAGAACAAATAGCAAAAACAATTATAATAATTATAATTGTAATACTGCATCATAATTCTTGAATTACATAGTATTTTAACTTAATGTATAATTGATACTATAAAGTAATATTATAACTATAAAATTATTTTCATTAAATAAAACACCCTAATTAATCATGAATTACGGTAGGTACATATTTTGCTCATGAATTAATTAAGTTACAGATGACAATTGAATGAGTTCAGCTGAAGTATTTTGTTGAATAATTTGAGAGATAAAACAATCTGTACACAAAGTGACAAGTAATCCTTTAATACATACATTCCATGCCATTATCAGTCAGTATTACTCATCTAATTTAGCCCTTGACTACCTTGTGTTGGAAGTACATTGCACAGCCAAAGCGCGTGTTTGCATGCTGCCACTCAAGATACTGATCAACATAAGCCTGCTTGGCAATATCCTTGGGGTACCAGTCATCAGCAACGTGGTCAGGATACTTGTGGCACAAATACCGCATGATGGCAACACTGTGGTAAAGGAATACTTTAGCCAAAAAGTTCCCATGAAAAGTCATATGTCATTTTTAAAGAAATTCAACCTATTCCAACACAATATTCCTTCAACTCAGTAACTTTTGACAGTTTCTCAATCAGATTACTAAAATAATGAGCTTCAAGGAACAAAAGTGATCAAAATAATGACACACAAATGCATCTGCTGATCAGAGTATTACTAATAAAGATGTGAAGCAGAGCATGCAGGGGAAATAAATCATAGGTAATAAATTTGATGGATCTGAAAGTAAATGAGATTAACAGCATAGAAAACATTAAGCAAGAAAGGAAACCAAATATAACCAAATATAAAAATACCTTTCAAAAAGCTTGAATCCAGAATCATTGATGGCAGGAACTTGCTGGAAGGGATGAATGTCGGAGTACTCGTCACTCTTATGTTCACCTATGAATAAACCAAATACGTATGTATATAGTTTGTGATGGCCAACAATTGATATGATGTAGTATAAAACTCTTACTACTTAGCATGCACCTGTTTGCTTAACATACCGTACATACCGACTTTTAAAGTTGCATCAAACTTAAGCTGCATAACAGTGCTTAGCTTTATCATAGTAAGTACATTTTTCTGGGATCATGCAGAGTTTTCAAATCACAACTATAAATTTTATCACATATAATCTTAAAGTTTGCACTGAAGTAAAAGTCACTATCAAATGAACAGTCTAGAATATTTTAGCAAAATATACCTAAGAGATATGTACAAACCAAAGTTGTCATGAAATTTTCAAAATTTATTTTGCAGAAAGAAATTTAGACTGAAAACTTGAAAAAATTTCCTCCATCACTATGTAAGGAGCCAAATCAGATGTTTAAACATTATAAAAAACAATACATATGCTTTCTCACCAATGTCTTGACAACACTTAGTTGGAAGTTTACTTTTTTTTCTCATAACACATTAATCCTTATCTTCTAGCGGATATGCTGAAGTGAAATATACCTACCTATATTATATACACATACTAACTTGAATTTTATCAATAAACAAGTTACATCAAGTTTTTTCTACAACTCCAACAAAACTAACTTGAATTTGATCAAGTGGCAAGTTAATTCAAGTTCTCTTAAACTCCAACGGAGCTAACTGCAATTTTATCAAGTGGCAAGTTACTTCATTTCAAGCCTTTACTAAAACTCCAACTGAACTCACCTCTTGCCAGGTCAATCTTGCACTTTTCATATGGAATCTTGGTCTTGTTGAGAAAAATATATAGAGCCCTTGAAGGCTGTGACATCAAGTCATAATAATATTTCAACATTTCTGATGAATTGTCTTACACCCAAAAAAATCTATAGAATAAAAATATTTAAGCTACACATTATAAATGTCATCTAATATACAAAAGTTTCAATGGCCTAATTTGCACAAGACCAAAATTTTTCAGTGAATAATGAACTTTGCAATAGCCACTCCAACTCCATTCTCCAAGATTATGTAGCACTGTAGCAGTAGAAAAGTCATACAAATATAATAGATAGGTATATACTGATACTGCAAAATGAGGCAGATAAATAATTGGTTTGCTTTCTATCTTGTTTGATGTTCTGTTAGAATAGAAAACATACTGTATCATTGCAATCAACTAGACTTACCAGAACACGTAGTTTCAAAAGCCTATTTTATGGCAAATTCAGTTCAGTATTCTAGATTAACCTGGAACTCATGGAAAATTAAGCCATCCATCAATGAGGCAAAAATTTCCAAGCTTAAGGTCAAGTTCACCATTCCTGTGGCTCTTAATCAATTTATTAAGTATAAATCCAGAAAAAAGCAATTTTAGAAAATTGACTGCAAAATGGTTTTTGTACCTGCAGTTTTATGTAAAATTTTGCTTAATATACCAGATTAGTATAAGAGTCTTCAAGCTATTATTGCAATATTAGGATTAGAAACCATGCTGAAATTTGAGGAAGTGCCTGGTCATCTACATTCACCAGGATGGCCAGCTGTCAGCCGCAGTGCTTCTCACTTAAGGAGGGGAGGGGTGTGTGGGTGCAATTCTAAGGCCCTCCTGGACTGTTATTGGTTGGTGATGGGGATTGGGGAACTTATTTGATGTCAGCTATTTGGGTGCTGGCACACTGTAATGCATTCATTGGAATTTTGGCCAGGTTTTCCCTGTGCAGCAATCGCACAGCCTTTACTGCCAGCCTGCTTGCTTTGGAGAGTGCGGCCAGCAGGCCGCACTCTCCCAGCAGGCCCGCCATAGTGGCAAACCAGTAATTTCCTAGAATCAGTTTACTCAAGATTTAAACCAATATCTTATAAATGTATGATGATGCTGGTATCCATGATACCAGCATATCCTACTTTTGGCCACTATATACCATATCCTATTTTTGGCCACTGCACTCCTCAATTACCCCAATTAAATGGTCATTAAAATGCTGTTAATAGCACATGCTTGCAAGATGCTCAAGCCTCACCCTATAATGGTTCACACCAGACTAATGTAGTCCTGTCCCCAACAGCCAGGGCTCCCAGCCAATAATTTGAGAAAAACTTAGATGGCTGCTGAAAAACACCCAGATTCTGCAGATTTTGTGGGAAAAAAACCCAGACAACAAATTTCATCAAAAACATACAGTATGCCTTTAATTATCTTTCAATAATATATGATTTTTCTTGATACGGAAATTTGGTGAATGAGAAATCTAGAACTTTATTTTAGAAGAAATTTTCTCCAAAGTCATAGTTTGTTTACATTTCGTATGTATAATAGCCGCAGTTTACGATTACCGTACGTTCCATATCCGACAAGCAGAAGAGTCAGAAGTAACCCGGACATGTCTTACATTTTATTATTGTCAGTTTGACTTGAGTAGTCAATATACTAGCATATATTGTCAACTAAAATAGTAGAACTATTTTAGCTTTCTAAAGTACGGCACACGGCGCATTTTTTTTACCAGCATAGTACGGCGCACCGCGCAGGTCGTTAAAATGACAAAATAAATTCCTGCGCACCTGGCAGTCTGGCACATCTTCCTGACCATGGGAAGCCAGGGACTGAAGTGTAAGTCAAAGATACATCGCTAAACTGCCAAAAGAGCCTCCATTCATCGTAGAGTTTGTCGAGAACATCCTCAAGAACAAGATGGGGAAAATTCTGTGCTAGCCTACCTAATCACTATGGAACTGGGAGATTTTGTGATATCTCATGAAGTTGAGGCAGCGGGATCTAATATTTGTAAATTTGCAACAATGCCATCTTTCTAATGGGAATCTTTTTTTTTTATTTGTAAGTACAACTCAACTAAGAATTTCAAACAAATCGTTTTAAATCTACCATCATTTCCCCCGATTGGAAGCAAGGATAACTCTCTCATGCAATGTCCACCTAAATACAAATCATTAACATGCTTATGTAATGATTTGTCACTTGGATCAATAATCAATATCTGAAGCTCTTGTGGATTGAACTGCATCTTCTCTGATGAAACAACTCAGAATGTTCTTGCATTCAGGAATCAGGATACACCATAGAATGTAACACATGAAGTCTGAAATTTTATTGAAATTGAAATGCATGGTGACCTCTGGTCACGACCTTTATATTGTTCATACATGCTGCCCCATACCCAGGATGGTGCGGTTTTCCGCGGATTAATCCAGCGTAAACGAGGCTCCAAGCCCTTCTACTGGCGTACAACGCGGCGTACAAAGAGCTAAAATAACGTTATTGGCGCAGACTGTTTTTAGGGTAAAATTAGTTATTTGGGGTAACACGTGCATGCAACCTTGTAAATAAGTTTGTGGCTTGTAAATAGTTTTTCATTACCTACTCAGCGTAAATGGCTTCTCATTAAAAATTACATGGCGACGCATCTTAAAATTACCCGGCGATGCTTAGGGCTTAAAAACCCATATATTGGCGACGCTGCATCCACCCTCTGCACCATGGCCACTAGGCAACACCAGCAGACCAATCAGATATTAACAAAGGCATTTAGAATGCCACCATATTAGAAATCATTGCATTGTAATAAAAGTTGCCAAATTTTCATGGAATTTGTCAGTAAATCTGTAAGTTAGTCAAGCTCTCACTCTCAGTCTCTCACCTATGATTTTTAACTTGTATCAGAATAATCAGATCCAGATTAACCAGAAGATACCAGTAGGCAGTGTCAGGAGTTAAATACCAATGTAAAATAGAAAACGTGATATCCGCCTTCCACCATCGGCAGTTGGCCACGTCACCATCAGTGACGTCACAACAAAGCCATAAACAAGCCGGGCCGCGGAGCAGTCAGATAGCTTGTGTCAGCCTATTAACATGCACCTGCGGTGCTTGCTGACAGCTCCGGTCAATCCTTTGAACCTCCGCACCATCGAACTGTCAATAGTGAACAATTAAGAGTAATGTGGTGTTTCACTCCCTTCCTGCCGTCAGTCTAAGAGTAGGACGATATTCAAGACTACACTGAACCCTCAGGACTTAATTAAGTACTCAAGGCTCTAGGAAGCCTCAGGTCCGGCCACGAAGTAGCAAAGGACCTGACAATAGCTATCACGTCGACCATCAACGACGAATTCGTCAGCCCACACAACATTGAATGGTAAAACGACTTTACAGCACGCCTGGTAGAACTCGTGTGCAACACACCTCAGCGTTCACACTAGACCATTTGTCAACACGGTCTTCGGAACTTCACTTATTCACATGCGAATTATTTTGCTAGTCCATTC